CCTTTAGCCACTTTACCTTGGGACCTTTGACCACTTTAACTTGTGACCTTTGACCAGTTTACCTTGGGACCTTTGACTACCTTGTGACCTTTGACCACTTTACCTTGTGACTTTTGACCACTTTACCTTGGGACCTTTGACTACTTTACTTTGGGACCTTTGACCACTTTACCTTGGAATCTTTGACCACTTTACCTTGGGACCTTTGACCACTTTGCCTTGGGACCTTTGACTACTTTATTTTGGGACCTTAGATTACTTTACTTTGGGGCCTTTGACCACTTTACCTTAGGACCTTTGACCACTTTACCTTGGAATATTTGACCTTTCTATCTTGTGACCTTTGACCACTTTACCTTGGGACCTTTGACCACTTTACCTTGTGACCTTTGACCATTTTTTCTTTGGAACCTTTGACCATTTTCCTTGTGACCTTTGACTACTTTAACTCGGGTTCTTTGACCACTTTACCTTGGGACCTTTGACCACTTTACCTTGGGACCTTTGACCACTTTACCTTGTGACCTTTGACTACTTTGGGACCTTTGACTACTTTACTTTGGGACCTTTGACCACTTTACCTTGTGACCTTTGACCACTTTATCTTGGAACCTTTGACTACTTCTCCTGGGGAACTTTGACTACTTTACCTTGTGATATTTGGCCACTTTGCCTTAGGACCTCTAACCAATTTGCCTTGTTACCTTGACCACTTTACCTTGGGACCTTTGACCACTTTACCTTATGACCATATTATTGTGATCATTTTCTAAGTAGGCAGTTTGCAATCGGACCCAATATTTGTAACCAATTTACTAATACCTATTTTCTCCCTTGATCATAAGAAATATTGAAATACGAATAGAAACTTGTCAACCCGAAGATGAAAGTGGATGCTACAGAAGGTTGACATTTTCCATTTGAAATGTTTTGTAACAATTTGATCAGAGGGTTGACATTTTCGACCACAAATAACAATAACAATAAACAGATCTCATATAATTTTAGGCTGACGGGGTTTATCTACATTCCAATCAAAACTCACCAAAATGGCGACTGCAGCAACCTTTGGTAAACTAGAGACGAAAGACAAGCAACGAATAAGTAAATGGATCGGTCGTTCTAAAGATTTGGTCTTGCTGTATAAAGCCACACGGGATGGCATGTCTCCCCCTATCATCCATAGCAAAATAGACAACATGGGACCAACAGTCATGGTTTGCTGGAACACAGACGGTTGTGTATTCGGAGGTTATTCTTCTGTTAATTGGTTTGGTGATGATGAAGAGCGATTTTTTTACGACGGTAACGCTTTTCTCTTTCATTTGAAATCCCAAATCAAGACTCAGCCTGGTATGTATTTGGTAAAAAATCCACCACACGCACTGTGCTATTGCTCTGAGATCTGTCCACGATTCGGTAATGTGCAGTTTATGGATGATGAAGTGACTGCAGCTGATGGGAATGGAGTATTTGTGAATGCTGTGAAGCCAGTAATTGGGGCAGCGTATCAAACTGGAGAGAAAAGTATGAAAGATATAACCAATGATAATTATAATTATACAGAAGTTGAAATCTACCAAGTCATAGGTGAGTATAAAACTACAGTCTAGTGTAATTTGTTCCAAACTTTCGTTTCGTGTTTGATTATTTGTACACAACGAAACGGAAGTGGTTGCGTATAAAATAAAAGCCTATAAAAATATGGAATGAAAGTTTTGTCCAATACCGGTAAAACTATTGAACCAATACAGGATTCTGGTTTCTATATATTTCTGAAAACTACTGCTTGGACTCGCCCGTGTTGCCAGTAAATGCACACGGAACGGAATTCGGCGAGTAGATCGAAATTCTGCCTGTACCCCAGCTATTTTGAAAGTTATCGGCTGGTGTAATCCAACCGATAACTTTCAAAATATCTATCAGAGGCTGGGGTACAGGCTAATGTTCCGGACTACTCGACGAGATGATAACACCTCCAGACTTAAGTTTTGAATAACAACTTCTGATGAGCAGCACCACTAAAATATCCCCTACAAAAACATTACCCGATTTCCTGAAATATTACATTTCGTATTTTGTTCAAATTCTTCATCCTCCCTTTGGAACTATTTTCATGAAAATAGATACATTTTCTCTCCATTTGTCGATATCGTCAGAGACACCTGTCGTTTTATTTTGATAAACACTGAGGATATTACTTCTTGTATATTTCATTGTATAAACTCTATTTCATTTTCCAGATAAAGTTTTATTGAGTAAGCCGTGGAGACCAGACTTAATGAGCAAAGTAAGTAAGGTTTCACTTTCGGTTATTATTACATACATTTTCTCAGCCTTATGTGAATATTATGAAAACGCAGAAAAAGTCCCGAAAAATGTTAAGCCAAGTAATATCTGATAAAGAAGGTCTTTAAAACAAGGGTTCATCTGGGTTAAAGTGGCAAAGTGCATCTGGGTTCAACTGTTCAAAGTTCATGTGGGTTCAACTGGCAATTTCATGTGGGTTCAACTGTTCAAAGTTCATATAGGTCAAAGTTCGTGTAGGTTCAACTATCAAAGTTAAGTTCATGTAGGTTCAACTGTCAAAGTTCATATAGGTTCAACCACAAAAGTGTATGTGGGTTCAAATGTCAAAGTTCATATAGGTTCAACTATTAAAGGTGGTGAAGATTCAAAATTCCAGGAAATTGCAGCAAAAAGAGGCTTTTTTTCATTTCAGTCTCAAATAAAGAATTCTATTAAATCCTACTGTCCTGTAGAAGAAACTGGTGTAAGAGAATCCAGGATTTTATTTATCGGCGCGGTCGGATCAGGAAAGTCTAGCTATGTTAACACCATCAATTCTATATTTAGAGGTCACGTGACCTGTCAGGCAGCTGCCGGAAGTGCTGAACACAGTCTTACTACAATGGTAAGTTGCCGCCTGATTCTTTGAGAGTTGTTGTCCCTGATTAGCAGAATCAGGCCCTGTACTTATTTGTCAGAATTTATGTCCGAATCAAAATAACTTATAACAGAATATGCTCATTCCATGATTCTTTTTTTCGTACTGGAAATAAGGCCAGTAGCGTATTTAGGGGGCGGACCATTGGGCATGCCCCCCCCCTCTCTCGGGTCTTATTTTGAAGTGAAATTTAATCCCCTAAATGCTCAAAATGCATCTCAGGCCATCTGCAATCTGTGGCTTCTGGCAGGAATTTTCTAAATACTTCCCGGAATGAGGCTCTGACACCAATATTGGTCCTAAATTCCCAATTTGAATTAATTTTTCAGTTCCGATCTTATAAAATAAGAGATGGCAGTGGATTTCTCAAATTTAGATTATGTGATACACGAGGTTTGGAAGAATCGCAAGGAGTAGATCCCGGGGATATTGTAGCTATGTTAGATGGAAATATGCCTGATTTATATACGGTACGTGGATTGAAAGATGTGGGTTTTTTTATGTTAGAGTCTTAGTTCTCTTCCCATGTGGGTCACAGATTTTCCCCTAGAGTACCAGCGAGCACCTTTACACAACTTTTTCATTGCTTTGCCTATCATCATACGAGCTCGGTAGAAAAATGGACCTCTTTCACTTTGCTTATAATAGGCTAGCGGCCTAGCGGAAAAATTATTTTCCGTTCCCATCAGCTCAATCAGGTACAGAAAAGTAGGACGTAAAACTCCTTTCATTTCTGACGTCGTTTTTGATTGGTTGGCATAAATTTTTGCAATGAAATTAAATTTCTAACTTCATATTTGATTGGTTAGAGTAGACATTTGTTATAAAACTGAATTTTATTTCATTTTTTAGTATAATCCATCAGCTGCAATCACTCCAGTGACCCCGGGCTATATAAAATTACCGAGTTTAAACGAGAAGATTCATTGTGTAGCTTTTATCATTGATGGTAGCTCAGTGGAATTGATGAACGATGCTGTTCTTTGTCAAATTAAAAATGTTCAAAATATCATCCACCAAAGAGGTATGTACAAGTCTAGTTCGACAAATCAGACCCCAGGGCTACAAAATATTTCTCATGCACAGCTTAGTTTTTACTCAATTCATAGTACGTTTCATTTTAAAAAAAATCTGTGATTCCATAATATTGACGTAACCAAAAATTTTCAATTTGAAAAATGTTTCGTTTCGTAGTTTGAAATCTGCGATCCATAAAATAAACAATACTTATTTCGGGCAAATTTTGTATTAGTGGTTGGGACGATAGCACGGTTGGGATTTGAAACCCACCCCATAAATAACATTGTTCGACTATATCTCGATAATTCAATTTTTTTTTTCCAATTTTTAGGAATTGCGGTACCACAAGTAATTCTGCTGACCAAGGTGGATGAAATAGCCCAAGAAGTGGACGAAGATTTAAACAACCTGTTTTACTCCAGTGAAGTGGAGGAGGTGGTTACAACTGTTTCTCAGTTGGTAGGGTTACCTCGCAGCCATGTTTTACCAGTTAAAAATTACGAGAAGGAAACGGAATTAAACGATACGGTCGATAGATATGCTTTACTTTCACTTCAGCAAATGTTACGATTTGCTGATGATTATTTGTATAATATGTTGGATACTCAAGTTTAGTTAGGATCGGTTGACAAATTGAAGCAGGGAGGGTGCATACCCCCCATATACCGCATTTAGACTTGGGTTTATTTATATATAGTTTATCTTTTAGTTTAGTTTGTAGTAAGCTTTTTGATTATAACTTCGCCAGGCAACATATATACATTTATAGACTCATAATTCGAGTATTCATATATTTTATTATACCTTCGCCATATTCGTTTTATTCACGTTTATAATGCATTAGTATTTGTTAATTTATTAGTCTCAGAAACTGGAATTTTTGTAGCTGGGCTAATCAGTAATAGTGTTCACATATCACCGTCGAAATTTGAGCCTTGAAATCCATGTGTGTTCAGAATTATCTGCATTCGAAGGCAAAATTGACGACTCGTAATTTTAAGATACTCTGTGATATATAAAAAGACATGTATAGAAAAAGTGAGTAAATTTTCGTACATTTCTAATACTTCTGAAGACTATTTAATACATTCGAGACTAATATCGTTTTGTACAATGGAGCTCTGTCCATTCCCAGTCCATTGAAATTAAATACATTTCCGTTTTGTCGGAACTTGGCATTTCAGATATAATTAGAGTTACATCCCTTCCCATGTGGTCAATTAAATCTGGCCCTAACCAGATCCTCCGACGTGATATTCGGATGGGATATCGGAACTATTTGAATATCACGTCGGAGGAACTTGGTAGGTTCCGATTTGTCGGACTGGGTGTGTTCTTGGTATTACCTTGTAAATATTTTACACTTTACATTCTGTTTTTCTAATAGTATTGTGTTGTATTCGAGTCTCTTTACTCTGATGTATTTTCTATAATAAAGTCAAGTATTTACCTCAATAGACTGTTATTTCTTAGATTTGGAAATTAAATTAAATTAAATGAAATGAAATGGAGATTTCTTTTGGGGTTAATGAGAACGGGTATCTTGATTTGGATGTTGTGTGTCTTCTGTGTGCCAAGTCTGTTACGGGGTTAATTTTTATTCCAAAGATTTTGAACTTCGGACCCTGACTGCCAAGTACTTTGAAGGCTTTATATATGTAGCCGACACCGGGTCAACTCTCGAAATCTCAGGCACAGGCATAAGAATTTTTCTTACATTGTTCGGGGCGGGGCGTTCAATTGATTGACAGGTACTAGTGATTTGAAGCAATAAAGAACCTCAGGCCATTTTACGTTTAAAAGAAGACGATTTTGGTGTTTTTATTATAACTTAGTATTTATTAGAAAAGATAGATCAATATAAATATAAAGAATGGATTTTGATTTTGCTATCGTAATTGGGAATTAAAGGCCGGTTTATTTATTTTGCCACATGGTAGCTCGACAAATTTGGACATACTCGTTCCTCAGGCGTGATATACTGATCAGATATGGGACTAAACGTGCTGATATCTCATAAGTACATAACGCCCGAGACACTGATAGGTTCAGATTTGTCGGGGTAGCCACATGACGCGGACGTGTTTTTCTTTCCATGACGATAACAAGATCCACATCCATTCCTAAGATATCTGTTGGTACATGTATATAAAGTATAGGTATTCCATCTTGAAGAAACGGACAATGTCTTCAGTAAGGATCCGAGAGCCTGATTTACTCTCATCATTCATGCGATAAATATTCATTTATTCGTGGTTACAGTTGATATAACAGTCTAATCTTTCTATCTCGCTTTTCACAATGGACATCTATATTCAGTTCCATTGCAATCAAAACTAATATAGGGGAATATTAAATTCGCAATAGTAACTGGACTGCTCTATCTTTATCAGCCTTTTTCTGGGTCATTTTAGAAATGGAGCTTCCCCTTTGGTTTCAGAAGCAAAGTAAGTCAGATATACTGTTTCCCTGTCGATTCCAAATTTAATTCGTCCTGGTTCTCAAGTTCTACAGGAAGTTGCAAAAACGAAACTGCCCTAGTTTTCAAACTGTACCTACGTTCATGATATTTCACATATAATGACGTCATCACCTGAATATCAAACCAGTCTGTATGCCTGTTGAGTTTCCCTAAGGTTCTCCTCGGCTTGTGCCTTCGTAATTTCAATTACATGTTTTTATAACCACTTTCACCTTAAACCTAAGGTTTTAACGGTGAGCGGTAACTATAAGCAATGAATCTTTTCAGTCTTTGAATTTTCTGTGCTCTTTTAGAAATGTCGTTCACAAAGTATTTAGATTTGTCTTTATTAGAAATCACACTGTTGTCTTTTCTCAGGCGATTATTTAACGCCCACTGTTCTGAGGACGATTCTAAATTTTTATTCTGGATATTCCACTGTTTGTCCATATTGCCTTCAGCACGTTTTCCGCGCCACGGAGCAAATGGCATTTTGATAAATTGAGAAATTCTTGAATTTGCGGCGACCCCTTCGGATATGACGGTGTCAGGGACGGTTTTGATGGGTTCTCGGGTAATGTGTTTCACGTTAAATTTCCTAGCAGAAATGTCAAATAAGTAATCTGGTACAAGAAAAAAAGAATTTACACAGATAAAGGATGCTAATACCAGAAATATTACCATTAAAGACCAATTCGCCATTTTTAATTTTGTCAATGTTTCAATCTGAAAAATAAATACAGAACACTATAAACAGGGTGAAAAATGATATTTAGAGGTAATTAGATCTACACTAGAGTAGACAGTACTACCAACATCTTCACAATGTCCAGTAGACCGAAATAACTGTCTCTATTCCAGCCTCTAATAGCCATTTGGACAACTGCCAGCCGGTGTAGAGATAGAAAAAATAGGCCCTGTTAAATAGGATGGTTTTTGGAGGTGTGGAAAATTCCCATTTAACAGGGTCTTTTTCTTCTGACTCTACTCCAGCTGACAACTGTCAAAATATCCATCAGAGGCATCAGATCCATCAAGCTCAAGAAAAGACGAATCGTTTCTGAGACTAAGGTATGATTGGTTAAACGGGTGGCGAATCTGTCCCTTTATTGCCCAAAACCCATCTGTCATGGGTCATATCAACACTCCCATTGAAAAGCGTTACACGGTTGAACAAACAGGGCATCTCACAGTTAATTAGCACTTATTACAGAAAGTATATATTAATGAGATTCCAACTGTTGGTTGAATAGGATTGGGTAAGAGGTGTTATCATCAGACAGCGGAAAACTTGGGACGTCTTAAAGGCCATGGTTAATTATTTTCGGGTGTTAATCGTAAGTAAGTCTTATAAATGAAATGAATGGAATTTTAGGTCCTACTTTTCTGCACCATATGGTCTAATGAAGACGGGCAACACCATGCAGGGTGCAATGAGGAACATTTAGCCTGCTCTTTATCGATTCCCAACTGTCGATGGATCTTTAACGTGCACACGGGGCCTCGGTTTATTGTCCCATCCGAACAACTAGACGCTTTTTCCATGTCAGTTACCGTTTTGAAAAATCCGAAGGTATTATCCCGATTTATTCCGGGATTGAACCCTGGACCTTCAGCTTATCGAGCGTCTAACTCACTGAGCCGAACTCTTAGAAACAGAAATTGTTCCGCTATGCTAATCAGTAATAGTGTTCACAGCTGACGGTCGAAAGTTTAGCCTTCAAATCCATGTGTAAGCTTATATGTTTCAAATTTCATTTACCAGTCATTAAGTTCAATTTGGAAAAAATCAACCTCCGAAAATGGCGAAGCATGGCCTTCAAAGTGACAGTATGCACTAATTGATATGTATTGAATTAGTATTAAATTTTGGTTACTAGTATCAAATTTTGGTTACTAGTATCAAATTATCAAATTTTGGTTACTAGTATTACATTTTGGTTACAACTATTACATTTTGGTTACAAGTACTACATTTTGGTTACAGGTATTACATTTTGGTTACAACAATTACATTTTGGTTATTTGTATTACATTGTGGTTACTAGCATTAAATTTTGGTTACTAGTATTACATTTTGGTTACTAGTATTACATTTTGGTTAGTTATGAAACAAGTGATGACAAAAATCGTAGTGCTTGTGATAACGCTCTGTCTAAACGGAGTACATGATTACTTTCAGCAGATTCGAAAGATTTTTAATCAATAAAAAAATGGTTTAAAAATATAAAACAAAGTTATGAAGAAAATCATACAAAATATTATTGTAAGATTGTTAAGAAAAAAATCTTTGATATTCTTACCTTTTATGCCATGGAGATTAAGTTCCTGCAAATATTTCTTAAACAGTCTTTAGATTTCTCTTATACTATCTCAACGTCTTAATACGAGTGTATTGATTCCAGTAATAATCTTTCAATGAATACTAGCCAATATATAGTCTATCAACCATACAACCCACATATAATACAGAATACACGTGGGCTTCTCATACATTGGGAAATATCTAAAGTTTGAATATCGTCTGAATTAACTTGACAAATCTGGTTCTACCCGTTCCTCGGGTATTATTTACAGGTGGGATATCTACACGTTAAGAAAATGTCACTTTTATTGGGAGTTGCTCCGATCCATTTTTGGGATCTCTAGTTTTTGAGAATTTAGCGAAACTTTTGAGTCCATCAAGGCATATCCAGATATTGCACCTGTGCCCCACATGGTACTGCAGTACAGTCATGGTGAAAGCTGGGTTGTCTACCAGTCCTTATGAATCACTTGGTAGCACAATTCTCTTCGTACGAATTGTGCGACGAAGTGGGCCAAAGGGAAATGAAATGAATGGAGTTTTACGTCCTATTTTTCTGTACCATGTGGGCTAATGAAGAAGGGCAACGACATGCCATGAGGGAAATTTTGCCAGGACAGCGGCATTAGCCTACTCTTTTTCGATTTCCAACTGTCTAGTGATCTTTAACATGCACAGCCTCGGTTTATTGTCCCATCCGAACCACTCGACGCTTTTTCCATGTCAGCCCCGCTTACCTATATCACTGACAGGTATTATCTCGACCTATGCCGGAATTGAACCTTGGACCTTCAAGCTAGCGATCAAGCATCTAACTTCCTGAGCCACCGCGGCCCAATAGGTCAAAGGCCTGGAAGACAAGAACCCAACGTGTTATCCTGGTAAAAAAAAAAAGGTTATTGAATTGTAGGTGACCTGGGTGTCGGATTTTTATTCTAAAAAGTTAAATGGATTGCTATGTCAGCTACATTCGACAATCTTCGGTATTCCCGTAAAGATGAATTGCAGAACGCTAGCAGAACCTTCACGGTAAACCGATTGTGTCAGCTGCATTCGGCAATTCTCGGCAGTTTCCGTAATGCTGATTGAACTTTCACAAAAGTTCCTTTAATAGTTTTCGCTAGGTTTAATTTGAAGTCGCTGTAAAATTATATTTCATTAATAATATTATGTGAATATCATTTTACTGTCGACTAGTAATTAGTGTTTAAATTTACAGCTGTCTAGAAAGCAGCACAAATTGCCTAGAAACATTTTATAAAATGTAATACAGTAAGTTACTCGTGAAAATACACGAGTTATCAGATCAGATCAGAGAAAGCAAATAAAACAATAATTACTTATACATTTTTAATTTGACGAAACTACACAGATAAATGTTGTGTATGCTATTGTCTAATGTTTATCTTATTGTTTATTATTAAAACGAACAAATTAATGAACATATTTTGTGATATCTATACCACAGAAATAGTCGTTGTATCAAGACACTTGCTTGAAAACCCTCAGGCCCACGAATCTATATCATACCTTGGATTTTAACCCTGTAAATGGTGGAGGGCGTAGGGTGACATGAAGCGTCTAGTTTTTCTGGTGGGACAAAAAGCCTCTTTTGCTGCTGACTGTACACTTTAAAGATGCTTCGACAGTTTGAAATAGAAACAGAGTAAGCCAAATTGCCCTCATTTCACACTGCATTGCGTTAACCCATCCCCATGAGCCCAACCAGTTTCATTTCATTTAATTCATAAAATATGGCCTATCATGCCAATAGACAGGGACATTTTATCCCGAAGGAAAGAAAAGGTTCCATTAAGTACTTGATATGGATTAAGATTAGTAAACCTTAATCTGGCTTATCCTCCAGGCTTTGTGTCAATCTGGATCGCTTGATGTACAAATATAAATTTTTCTGGGAAAATTTAAATTCCATGCCTTAAAGTGTATTTTATCAGAGACACTGAACAGTTGGAAGTCTGAAAATAGTTTGCATATCACGCGTTCGTGTGTTGTACATCGGCCTTCTGGCATAACTTACACGTAAAGAATAATTATACTCCCACCTTCTGGTGGCAATTTCACAGACATCTTCTGCCTTTGGTGATCATCTTTTATAACAGTGCTACAATACTTTTAAATATACAGATTGCTCGGAATAACTTCTTAGAGATCTTACACACTGTTGAAAATAGAGTGTTACACAATCTCCAGCTCATGCGTTTCAGACAAGGATAAATCCAAAACCTTTTGTTGAAAACTTTTGAAATTTGAACTCACCCATCATGTTATTTTAATGTCTTTCATAATACAAATATGTATCACGAGAGTTCTCACACACAAGCATTGTTTGGGATAAAAACTATAGTCTTTTATATATTCACTAGTCTATATTTGCTAGTCAAGGACAAGCCACAAAACTTGTGCCGAAAACCTGTGAAATTTGAACTCATCCATAAAGCTGTAATTATCTATTCAAACCTCGAGTCAGAGGCTGCATGAAAATCTTTAACTAAAGTCAACTGCTATATATCTTAAAGGTTTCTACAAGTGCTTTTATCCAGATAGACACTGCTGTGGCTCCGGGGTCTGGTTGTGTGAGTCTATCTGATCTAACATAACTCGCTCTTCCAGCCTGTGCTTTCATAGATGACGTGGCTTGTGCTTTCTCTGTCGCTGTCTGCAAAACAAAAAAAATATTTAACAAAGGGGTATATATTTGTCTTAATTTTCGCTGATGGCTACTGATACATCTAAATTCCTATGACCTGTATAACATTTTAAAACTAATACCCGACAATTTTTTTTATTAAATTGCAGACGAATTACAAGTATAATTTTCATTAAAACAATACAAAAGTGACAGGGATAGTTGAGATCAACGATTTCAGCTATAGCAGTGTCGTAAAGTCGATGATGGAGGCAGTAATTCAGACGAGGATCTTCGGGACGCCTTAATCTGAAGCCTCTTTTACATTTTTGATTTTTTTACAGAGATAAAATCATACTAACTTGGTTTATCAGATTGAGAATTGCTACCATATCATCATTGTGTATTTCTTTCTTCAAGACTTCACTAACAGAACATAGAGGGTCTAACTGAAATGAAACTAAGAAATATTATAAAGAATAAGAATATTATATTATTATATCAGTCGTCGAATGGATTCTGGATAGTGGAAACTTCTTCAGAAACATGATGGTTCGTAGCCAATTGCCATAAAGGGCACACGTCATTGTTAAGATTCATGAATGGTCCATGACTAGTCCGACAAAGCCTGCTATACCTGCCCTTAGACCTGATATGCAGGTCTGGCTAGCCATTGCCAAACTAGTAGAGGCATATAGTGAGAAATTGAGCCACATACCATAGTTCTATCACCTTCTTCGGCACCACCATATCTGAAATAGGTAGTCAAACTTGTACTAACGACCGTTCGTATTAGACAGGGTGTTTTTTCAATTGACCCAGATAAGGACAGTGCAATGCATTATAGGCCAATCAACCACCTTGTATATTTCTTTTGATTATGCATGTACATACTTTTTGATGGCGTTTATTCCTTGCTCTAGAGCTCGACACCAAGACACTCGACTTATATCCTGTTTCAAACTTGCAGCACCAGATGTTAGAAACATACTATAAAGCTGAAAGCAAATCATTAATCATGTTTTTTCTCAAAAAAGCAAATTCTTTTCTTTTCCGAATAATCTGTAGCTGACATTGGCACAGTGGCGAGAGTTAGACTACGAAGGGCACAATGGCAATTTTCTGTTATCAGATTGTGACCGAAGTGGCAATTCAGGTGGAGGTGACACATAATTTTATTGCCGAGAGAGGCTGTCGGGTCAGTTTTTTTCCGTCCCCGTAGGAACGCATCTGTGTGCCTGAAGCAGGGTCAGATTATGACTGGTTTTGGGATAGTCCGAGAGGCTCTTACCCTTTCCAAAGGCTTGAACATATGACATCATGTGGAAAGGTTCAGAGCTTTTCGGACTAGTATGACAAATTAATCGTTTTCTGTGATCAGATGTAGACTGCGGTGGGCTCAATTGCTGTTTTCTTTGGACAGAATGCGAATTGTATCGACATAATAGCGTGTTAAAAGTTAAAAATGTTTGATTGCGAAAGCTCCTAACTCACAGCCCCGGTCGATCCTCCCATATGATTTTCAGCGATGTTGGATAATTTCAAAGCTAATCTATAAGGACAGTTAATTGGTAATCCAGGATCATCTTTTTCTCCAATACTTTCTAATAGAACTGAAAATATAAAACGGTAATTATAGGACTGAGTAGGTAAGATAAAGGAAAAGTGAAATATTAAAATAAGTCGTTCGAGAACAATCGATCAGTCGTGTAGAGGTTGACATGCCATTTTAATAAATTTATCTTGGACCTGTTCAAACTCCAGAACTGATAAACGTTAACTAATAATCGTAATTTTCAGGAAACCTATTAGCTTTAAGACAAACAATCGTCTAATAATTCGGTTAACCAGCTGAAAGAGGTCACTGACAGCTACCCATAAGATATTTACAACGGTCCTCTATGCCCCGTTTCTCTTAGAATATGAATTTGTCGTAAGTTTGGAATTTTATAGTTGAAAAATACTGTGCTTAAGACAAACTTGATCGTAAGATCACATCAGTTGAGGAAATGGAAAATGTTAGAGCCAAATTTGTCGGCCTCGGAAACGCCCGCCAATGTGTTGTATACCAATTGGCATCATTCCAATTTCAAGCAGACATCTGTGATTTGTACAATTCCAATTGATGACGTCTAATAGCTAAATTTGCTTTATCACATAAGTCCCTTCGCGAATAGTGACGCCACCAAACACTTAGTTTTAGTTGAAATGCAGGAACCACAGACGTCTGCTTGAAAATTGAAATGATGCAAATTGATGCTTTTAGTGACCCCGATAGACATAACATTTTTTTAAAAACCTAATTGCAATCCCTTTAAATATTATAATTTACAAATATTTGAATTAGCAAGAACGTATATGGTAGATATGAAGATATGAACGCATTGAGGGAATACATATAATATAATCTGATAACAGGAAATGGCCAAGAAAATGGCTTCAAATATTCTCCATTACAACCCCCGGATCTCTTTATGGTCATCAAGAGTGAAACGTGGCTGTTGAAGCTTTAAATAAGGGTCATTAAGTTTCGGCCTACATTGCTTTTTTAAGACAACTGCGTATTTCAGAGGAATATCCAGACTAATTCTATATGTCTACGACAAAGCGCAAGAAATGCCCACAAATAGTAATAAGATCAAGACTCACAAAGGGGGGTTACTGTGTCTCTTTACTACAGTCTGCAAATACAGTGACGTTTGGATTATGTAACGTCGAGTAACTCAATTAGGCACGCCCGAGGCTCCCCAGTAGAACAGACGTTCCAGGTACAATAGGAAGCTAAAACGGTAAAATTGTAAGAAAGAACCCTTTATATGAGCCTACTTAGATGTTCGTGTTATGCCCTGAAATCTACAAGGTAGCAAGTCTTGAACGAATTAGCCCTTCCCCTACTACCCCAGTTCCCCAACCTGGGGTATTTTCACTCCTGGGGGTGTTTGACTAGGGTGTCAGTGGTGTGGCCACTGTGGCGGAGCCAGGTATACGTCTAACCTAGTTATGAAATTTTTGCCAGAAAAGCTTGCTTTCGGGGCTGCAAAGGGGGGGGGG